TACACCGGTCATACCAGTATCTTCCTTCTTCCCTGTCATCCTAAGGCCAGAAGGTTCATATATGCTTTTGCCTTAGAACAGTTGAAGCTTGAGCCACTTAATGAGGCATATTTATCGAATTGGGTGCAATGAACGACACAACGAAACAGGAGGCACACAACGCGAAGCGTCTCCTTCGGTGTCTCTTCTTTTGTTGACCTGTTAATTGCTCACCTTTTGATTAAGTATGCTTCTGCGTGTAACTGCTATCATTTGAAGGATGTTTTCATGTGTTACATCCAGCTCACAGGGATGTACTTTGATCTAACGCGCATAGCTTAGGGGGGTTCATAAGCACCAATAAAAGCAGTGTGTAACGTTTCCTTACACTCTACATTTTTACCGTGTTTCTAAACACTTTGCTTAGGGTGTTTCTAGCAGTCTAAAGGGGTGTTGTTTGTGAGACAAAAATACATCCTTTAGGGTGTAAAAATATCTTCAGTTCAGCACCCCCTGCGCTTGGATCAGCAGCACGCACCTGGCCTTGCATGTGGACGGAGCGGAGATGGCAGACTAGCCAGTATATTAGCTGTTTGCAGCGTCATTGTTCCTCGCGTGAAAAGCAGTTTGCTGCTGGGGGCGAGGACAAGTGAGAACAAGATTCAGAAGCGAAGATAGAGGTGTTGAAAAGTAGGAAAAAAGAGCCCCTGCTGAATGCCTCATTTCTCCGAACCGTGAAAGCCTGCTTCTCGTCTCATAATTCATTGTGACGGGCCATGATAAGTTCGGGAGTTTGACCTGGTGTCGCCTGGTGTCGGTATCCGCACTACTGGCAAGATGACTACAGTGAAACCACCACCTTAAGGCGTGCAACTCTTTCCGCCATTCATAGCGAGGGTCTAGTCTTGGCAGACCCTTTACCTTCAGGCAGGTGCATAGCGAAACATCTTTTTGGAAGGCGGAACAACACCTTAAATTCTGGAGAGACACCCCCTATAATGAACATTCTACACTCTTTATTGCACGGCGACGGAAAATTTCGGCAGGGAGGGCACGTGCTCGGTGTGCCACGCCCTGGCTACGTCCCTGCCTTCCAGTAGTAATCGAGGGAACATTGGCCAGCTGTAAGCTCCTAATAAGTTAACGTACCACGTGAAGCCAACTCAGGAACACAAAGAGTTTTGCAGACTCACCGCCATTGCTACTGCTGGCGCTGACTGACGCTCCCACGTTCGTTGGACATATATACGGTATGAACTGAATGGTCAGACAGCCGTCGTAGTAGCTCCGTTGGTAGAGCATCGGTGCATTATTCGAAGGTCGCAGGTTTGATCCCTGCCCACGGCAAGTCATCTTTCCTCCACATTTCTCAGTACACAACTACAATACAATTACTTCATAACGTCGCCTATGCACTCCTTGACAAGATTGTCTGTTATATCTAATTATTATGTGTCTGATAAAAAAGCGAGCCCTTATGATGTACCTCTTTCCTCCAATTTTTGAGCCATGCATGTGATTGAAAGGTTCGTCAAGTGTACTATGTTTGCATTTTTTCGGCTTGCAATAATGCACAAGGAATGAATAGTTAATCATATCTTCTGGTATAATTACTGGTGGCGCAGCAATGTTTTTAATATTAGGAACAACATTTACACAGTTGAGAAAATAAATATTTTCATAGACATTCCGATGCAGTAACACACGGTGATGCTCCAAATAAAATTCATCTTTACAGATCATTAGAAACGACAAATATTTCTTCCTATACAGCAAGGTGTCTCATTACACTTATTTAAAAAGAAAATCTTCTATGACGAAAGTGGCGTATGGCGAAATGGAAATATAATAGCCAGAGCAATCTGCCCACATTTAAGCGAGCGCTTTGATTGCAGCATAAAACGGGGCATATGGCCATCAGTGTTCTTGTGGACACTCAGGCAGAGATCTCTGTCATCTAATGATGCAGTCTCTAAACACAATTTTCTTACGCGTACGTTTGTCAATTTTAGACAGAAATTTACTCTTCCCGAAAAAAATATGCGTCCATTGCCAACAGTAGAAATTCTTCAGTTAAGAGCACCTGCACCCTTGAAAAACTTTCTCAAAGGAGTGAATATATTATGAAAGAATTTATGCTTGACATTATAGTGAAAACAATGTGCTTAACAATAATCTTGAGATGCCGTCAGAATAGTTTATTGCTTTTTAGTGTTTTTGTATTATGTCAATACCTGTTTCTTTGTGTGTTTACTGTGTATGTCAAAGAGTCTTGAACAGTAACTTGTTACTAGTAGCGCGTTACCGGTAACTAGTTACTTGTATTCAGTAACTTGTAACTATAACCAGTTACTTTGTAATATTAGGAACAACTTTTAACCGTAACGCTGTTACCTTTTACCCAGTAACTGCAAGGAAAGTGCCGTTACAGTTACCTTTGTTCTTATAAAAAAATTTCCGGCAGCAACGCTCAGTATAAGCCTACATTAAAACCTTCTCACTTATTCGGCCTTTTCCTTTGCCACGTCGGCTTCACCTTTTAACTGTCCACAATAGGGATTTCTTTGCAGTTTGAAATGTGTCACTAAAACGAATATCTTCGGCGTAGAAGACAGTATTTTGGGTTTTCTTCTAAACTGCATATTGCAAATTAAATACGTTGAAGCTCAACAGCTTTCTAAGCTCGCGTTCCACCGCCACCTTTTTCGGGGGGGAATTTTTTAGGAGGGGGGGAGTTCGGGCACTTGTATATTTTTTACTTGAGTTCTGCTCAGTTCTTGGTATGCCGGACGAGCCATCCTCCGCCTGAGGCTCCTGACAAATTTTCTTGAACATATAGCTCGGAAACAACCATGCAAAATGGTTGAAAGGCAAAAAGCCGTGAATTGGTGAAGCAATCTTCGAAAACTTCTAATCCATTCTCATTGGTGTATTCCGACGTAGCACAACAACTATGTACAAAATTAAGAAATGCTTCACGTCCTATGCAGCTGGCATCCGCAGTGTGAACTTGCAAAGAAAAGCAAATGTCGATCAGTCTGTCAGCCACACAAGTTAGTCACCGTTTCCAGAATTCCCCCCCCCCCCCACCCTTCACAATCGCTTTTTTTATTAGGCAGCGTCGTCATATTGATTAGGTCTAAGCTATGCGTTTTCCAGCAGTGTTTAACGAGCTCGATCTAGCATGTGCGTAGCCAGATGTTCGAGGATTAGGAGTGATCAATCTCTCACATAAATTTTTCAATTTCGCTTCCAAATATATACAAAGCAAAGTGGCTGATTGGGCAAGTTGCTTCAGCGTACTTTAGGTTTACCATTGCTAAAAAATACATGGCGGACAGGAAAAGGACGGGACAAGCACTGAGAAACCCACACCGGTTGTCCTGTCCTTTTCCTGTCCACCGTGTATTTTTTGCGCTGTCAACTCTTAACGATATACACACTCGTACATACAAATGCACGCCCCAACATGAATAAAGTATGGTTGAAACCACCATAGCCCTGCCCATTCAAAAAAACAAAAAAATCTGATAGCGTGCTCCTGCCCTCTACAAACAGCAACCTTTCGTTTTATGGTCATTTTCTGATCCTGTAATTATGTCGCTTCGCCATCCCCACGTCCTATTTGGAGATGATCCTGCACTGATCGTGTTTTTCTGTGTGTGGTCTTTGGATTTAGTGAACACGTGTTCTAATGGTTTGTATGGTTAGTGGACGGATAACTGTTTGAGTGGCCTGCTACATTTTGAGTACATAACGAATGAACGTCAATAATCAGTAGACTTCCTCTTGACTGGTTACACACTTTCCATACCTCTTCGAATTTTTTAAACAAACAATAGTTTTGGCATTTAGCTTGTAAACCATGCCGTACTTTGTATGATAAAGGAAAAGCAACGGCGTTACTTTTTCGTGGTCACTGTAACTGTAAAAGAGTAACTTTTTGCTTTGGTGACTGTAACTATATTATTGTTACTTTTTCACTGGTAACGTGCACAACACTGACGTCAAGCTATGCGCACTTACCTGGACAGGTGCCGGAACAGTTGTGACGCGTGTACTGTTCGATTATACTGTGTTTGTACACCTCGTGTTGTAACGCATAATTTAGGACACATATTGCGCCTTTTTATATTTTTATAAATACAGCACATTTGGTTTGCTAATCATGATTAGTCGGTGCCGCCATCAGACCACCAGTCCATCATTTCAATAAAAAATGGTATATAACGCCACATTTATAAATGACGGTGTGCGGCGTTGCACTTGGCGCACATACACGCAGCTGAGAGTCGTTACATAACGATTGTGCAATCAAACAGGTTCACATTTATGCGCGTAATGATCCAGCTTCGACATTTTTTTCCTTGGAAGGCTAATAAATGTTTGTGCACTGTTTATTGTTTGTAGTGCCTGGAAAGACACCGGAATAATAAGTGCAACAAGAGAGGACACATGGAAGCACACGCAAGTTAGAAAGCCAAATAGCAAGGAGAGGAGGGAGCGACAGGCAGGCAGGCAGGCAGGCAGACAGGCAGGCAGGCAGATAGATAGATAGATAGATAGATAGATAGATAGATAGATAGATAGATAGATAGATAGATAGATAGATAGATAGATAGATAGATAGATAGATAGATAGATAGATAGATAGATAGATAGATAGATAGATAGATAGATAGATAGATAGATAGATAGATAGATAGATAGATAGATAGATAGATAGATAGATAGATAGATATCACGTTCGAAGGAATTGGTTTATCCTTAAGCGAATAAAAAAAGAAAGATCTTTGCTATATATGTGCTCACCCGCGTTCCTCGTCTACATTTCTACGTGGTTGTTTTATTTTAAATTATAGTATTGATAAACCTGACACGGTGTTGTACTACAAAAAAAAAGGTCACTGTGCGCATGGTCAATAAAAGTGCCTCAGGAATAATTTATAGCTAAAGAAACCGTCTTTTTTTAGAAGAGCAGATTTTATGATTGTAGTCATATTCCATAAGTCGGTGTTTACCTGGCGAAGAAATGTGATCGGTTTCAGGCCCTGCCGGTGGCCGTCACTCATCTCACCTCGGATGAGGTAAGGAAAGTCAAACGTCTCACCCTGCGTATAAAATAGTAAATGTCGTTCAATCTATCTCTGAAAAAAAGGGGCGTGGTGCCTCATTCTTATGCGGTGAACTGTGAAGCTATTAATAGGGCAACGGTTGTTGACACACCAGCGAAGCAAGCGTATCCTACTATACACAAGAGAAACTAAACAAGAAAAATAATGGCAAATGTGCTTTCGGTCTTGATATCAAGCTTAGCAGAAGTCCTAAGTCCAAATAACCATGCATTCATATTCTACAATGCGCACGAGTTCGCTCAATCGTTTAACTGGACAAGCATGCAATAACAAAAAAGAACAGCGGGTAAATGCAGTAATGTTGATATTACTTCACCGTTGTACAATTGCAGAGGCTCTAGCGGCTGTACAGTTTCGCTGCCAGTACACTCAAGGTGCCTGGTTTCTACTCGAGGCGACGGCGTACCGCATTTCAGTGTAAGTGAAATGAAAGCCAACCCTGTACTAAGATTGAGATAACGGTAAAAAAAAATGTTCATATTTGCACTAGTGGCGCCAAATCTGACGGAATTGTGCAACTGCGTTTGCTTTCTAATTGTGTAGCATATAGCTGTTTTTAGCGAACTTCCGCGAATTTACGAGTATCTGTCTTTCTTTCTATCTAGCCGCCCACGACATTTAGCTTTCCTGGCAGTTTCGATTAATGGACCTATACCACAATTGGTACGAAATACCATGACTGTGAGACGAGTATAAATGACTAGTCATAATATAAAAATCATAATATGCATGTCATGAAGGTCATGGTTACATGCCACGGTCATGCTGCTCCTGCGGAGGTTTAGTTGATGTGACATATCACAAAACTGGTACAGTATATGACTGCATGGCGAACATAAGTGGCAGGCCCTCACGTGGAAATCATGACATGCGTGTCAGCTTGACTATATACCCCGTTCAAGATGCGCTCGCGGTCATTTCGCTTGCCTCGCATTCACCAAAGTTAGTATTACGTGACGTGAATGAATGATGAAGGTATATGACTGGTGAAGACATGATAATCATGACATGCGTGTCATGTAAGAACAAGACTACATGCCATGCTCATGATTCGCTCGCAGCTATTTTGCTAGCTTCACGTGTGAGATAGATATGTGGGGTTTAACGTCCGAAACCACCATATGATTATGAGAGACGCCGTAGTGGAGGGCTCCGGGAATTTCGACCGCCTGGGGCTTTTTAACGGGCACCCAAATTTGAACACACGGGCCTACAGCATTTCTGCCTCCTTCGGAATAGCTTCAGATATAACAAATTTGGTATTAGGTGACACGAACGGACGACGAAGCTAAAGGACATGTCCAAACATGATAATAATGATATGCGTGTCATGTAAAACACGACTGCATGCTATGCTCATACATGATCGCGGCCGCTTGGTTAGCTTATCATAAACCAAATTCGGTGCTACGTGATTCGAATAGGTGACGAAGCTAAAGAACACGTCAAATATTGATAATAATGACATGCGCGTCATGTAACACATAAGCACATGCTATGCTCATAGAGAGTTCACGGCCATTTCGTTAGCTTCACATATAACAAATTTAGTATTACGTTACATGAATGCACAAAAAACTCAAGTTCCAGGCGCATGCCATGATAATCATGACGTGGAAGTCATGTACGACATAAGTCACGTTCGCCTTGTAACATAGTGCAGATTTTAATCTGACAGTTTAAACTTCCTCTTTCGTGCTTCGCATATCACTTATTCCCACTTTACGTGGAATCTAGCAATTTTTTCGTTTTCACTCAAACGTTGCTTTTATGGACTCGATCTTTATAATCAAGTGTACTTTTTCTTTTTTTTTTGGGGGTCTCTTTTTTTCCTTTATTCACTTTCATTCTATTCTAGATTACTTTCTTTCTATAGCATGCTGTGCTCTATTCTTTCTTTTGGCCCAAAATTTTAGTTCTCAACCACTGCTTTTACACTATAGTATAGAAGACAGTATACCATACCATGCTATGCTCAGCTAGCAATGCCTGGAGAGTTGAGATGCTAGGGCGCTTGCGTTCGGTTTGTGGGTCGGCGGGTTGTATTCCCACCTCGCAAGAAAAATTGGTTTGCCAGAAATTTGATTTTTTCCTAGTATCTATACTTTTGTTTTAGTTTTTTAACTCTCTATCTTTCTTTGACTCTCTTTTAGCTTGATTTGTTTTTCAAGAATACTTGCTGCGCCCGAGGAAATTATTGTAAGAAGAAAACACACTGGGACATGAAAAAAATAAGTTTGCAAAAGATAAGATCGGCACAAAAATAGACAATAACCAAAATAAAGCCACGAGAGTAGCACTATCTCTTTGATGGATGCTACACTGCGACAGTCGGCAATATGTTGTGGATGCCGATTCCACTGCGAGATCGCGTTCAGAAAAATGAATATTGGTAAACGTTTGTTCTAAAAAACATTCTCTTATTTTTCGCGAGTGGTCACTTCTCTAACATAAAAATGTAATATTTTATATGGTGGAAACTTCTCTTCGATAAGAAATGGGGAGCTGAAGGGTAAAATTTTTCATCTAATTTATTCATCGAAGAAATAATTTGAAGAACAGCTTAATCTCATTTTTTTCTACTTGTAACTAGAAAATCCCATCCTAACCTTTCTCTAAGTGCAGCGACAGTGACACTGTAGACATTTTGGGTGATTACACGCAATATAGAACAAGGCATGACCCATCCACCTCTTAAATTTCTTTTGAAATTGTATATATTGTTGCCTGATGAGCGCAAAAAAGTGCTCCTTAATTGATTTGCCGGGAACGATATCTTTTTGAAGCCCAGTAAATCAATAATGATGAAGAGGTGGAGTGCTACGCTTATCTGCTCCGCTGTTCTTTCAGACTTTGGCGATGAATTACACAATATAGTTTGAAGCTACGTACCTCAAAATGTTATAGCTATATCTAGTCGTATTTGCGCTTACGTTCAATAATTTTTATTCTGATCGTAGTGTAGCGTTTTGGTAACAAGTCCCAAATTCGCCCCAGAAACGTTTTTCTTGTCTATTTGGCAGGCCTCTATTTCAAAAAAGGTCCATTGACATAGCGCTCGAAATTTCGAATAACTTTTTCAGCAGGCTTGTTTAAAACGGCCAAAGCTTACATTATACTGGTTTTCAATAATACATACTATCTAGCTAACCTAAACACAAGAGCATAAAAGCAAAACTTCTCACGACGATTGAAAAAAAAAAACATTTTCGAAAATTTTTTGAACACTCGCCAGTTATTTTCTTGCCGATGAACTCTAACAATCAATAAAGATTGGTAAATCCCACGTACAGTTGGTATTCGTAATATAAGAAGCACGTTTGAGGAAAGTTGAACAGCCGCGTTAAAGCCAGCACTATGCATATTATGCCGTACATGACTACCATGTCATGATTATCATGGCATGGGCATGGCTTTTGTGTTGGACATCCATTCATGTCATGTAGTACCAAATTTGGTATATGTAAAGCTAGGTAAACGTCCGCAAGCGCACTATGAGCGTAGCTTGTAATCATGTTTTACGTGACAAAAATATCATAATTACTATGTTTGGACGGGGTAATTACCATTTTCATTCATTGGCGTCACGTTATACCGAACTTAGTATAGGTCGAGCTATCGAAACGGCCTCGCGCGCATATGAGCATAGCATGTAGTCATATTTTTAAATGACCCGCATGTCACTATTATTATGTTTGGACGTTTTATTTACCTTCGTGGTTCATTCGCGTTACGTATTATCACATTTAGTATATGTGAAGCTGTCAAAACAGCCGCGAGCACATAATTAGCGTTGTACGTTGTCAGGTTCTCACATAAAGCGCATGCAATGATTATTATGTTTACTTTAGTTATAGAAACGGTTTCAAGGTTGCAAGCGTTGTATCCCAAACACTTCCAGTAACCTCATCTACCAGATTTTAACATCAAACAAAAAGCATGTTTTCAAGTTCTTTTCACAGGTAAGGAAAGAATATTTCGTTTTGTCACCTAAAACGAACGTGCGCTAAATAGAGAGAGAGAAGTGAACGTTTATTTTTGAAACAGTGCCCCGAGCAATGCCCGGTGTCACCATGAAGTGGGAGGGCTCCTTAGTCCAAAAACCCTCTGCCTTCTACTGCCCTCTTGGCCCTGGCGACGTGTTGTTGTTGGTCTTCCAGGTCCTCGAGGGCGAGCTTCGCCTCTCACGTTTCGGTCAAGTTTTCGTTCGTCCGTCCTGCTTCATTATCAGTCGTGTGTTGTTGCAGGTTAATTCTGACAATACACTGGCATGCAAGAAGCAAGTGTGCAAGGGTGTCTGGTACGTTGCAAAGCGGGCACATAGAGCTATATCTCGTTGGGCAGAGACGGCGCATTAGGGCCCCATGTGTGTATGTGCTGCTTTGCAGGCATCTCAGTATCACGCTTTTCTCTTTTGTCAGTTTTGGGTGTGGTGGAGGGTACACTCGTTGCTCCAACCTGTAATGCTGGAGTAACGACGAGTAGGTGTTTTGAACAACTTGCGTCTCTTCAACGACGGGTCGAATGTCCTGTGGGCAGGGGGAAGCCCGGCTGACGTGCTCGCGGGCAGTAGCGTGGGCCGCTTCATTTCCCTGCAGACCCTCGTGTCCTGGCACACATATTAAACAAGTGGATGGGAGTAGAGTGCTTCGTCGTTTCAAAATATTGATGGCATTGGCTGAGATACGGCCCTTTGCAAAATTCCTGCAGGCGGCTTGTGAGTCGGTGAAAAACACCGCGGCGTCTGTACATGTTGTGGTTGCTAGAGCGATTGTCGATTCTTCTGCGGCGTCTGAATTGAGTGCGTTGACCGTGGCCGACGTTATTTCTCGGCCTTGAGAATCTATGACGCTGACAGCGTACGCGTTTCTATGTGGATGCTTGGGCACATCAGTGTAGCGGGCATCCGGGTCTTGCTTGAACTTTCGTTGAATAGCGTTAGCTCTAGCCTTGCGTCTACTGTTGTGGAAAGTAGG